CCAAATTTAAAAGACGCTAAAAAACTAGGGATGACAGGGGCAGGATCGTACAATTGACCAGGTACAGGGATAGGATATGTCAAAGTGATTGTGCAAAAGGTGAAACATGTGCTCAGTAACAAAGTTGCGGAAGGAAGCAGTAGTTGAATAACTGGTAGGGGGTGAAAATTTACAGATATAGTTCCAGAGCTTAACAATACGATTAAAGTAAGAGGCCTGAAAAGTGCTAGTTTTACATACAGGAGTTTTAAGGTTATAAGAATTACTTAGTCTGGTTCGGCCGTGAGAAACAGGAGAAACAAAATCATAAACATTAAGATCAGTAAAACCATTCCGACATTTGTAAAAAAAAACAAGATCTTTGAGTTCGCGGTCTAATGTCAGAGGAAGAAGTTTCAAAGTTAAAAGTCTGTCTCTGTATGACATCACGCCTACACGTTGTTTGAGGATCCACCTTGTGGCCCTCCTTTGACCCTTTCAATTTGAGTTTTTAATGCAATCTTGTCCGGGGACCAGACTTGGGTCGCGTAGGATAACTGAGACTTCACAAGTGCAAGATAAAGTGAGCGTCTAGCAGAGACATCGTTTAATAGTGGGCACGTGCGTTTTAAAAGTCCAACATTGAGCCAAATTGTCATAGTTACGGCACGTTTACAGTTTGTTATAACTTAGAGATTTTATTTTAAAGATTGCCAATTATTTCCCTCCTCTCGGCATAAATCTAGTTAAGACGATATGACTGGCCATGTCTGTCAGTTTTGTTAATGCTTAGCATGTTGTTATGCTTCCTTCGCCTTTGGGAGTCCCGTCTCCCTGCTTCTGTTTAGCTTTTTAGCTTTTTGAGCGAGCACTTGAGAAATGCAATCTTGAGACAAGCATAATTTTTTCCGACTTCGATAACAACATTTATCCTACATGAAAGCTGCTTACCGCTAGAAATTCTGTTTTCAACCTCCAACGTTTTCCATAGCCATTTCTTCTTGTTACCTCGCGCACTAAATTAACATGTAGAGTTGCGAAACTTGATGTTTATATATTTAGTTATTGACTTAGTTATATTTCAACATTCTTTAATGTACCGTGGTTAGGCATTACACAGCTAGACAATTTAGAGTGCGTAACGTCTCAAGCATGCACCTGTGTTTACAAATATCAACCCCTTGGGCGTAGGATTTCCTAATTACTCAAATGCAAGTATTGTGAGATTTTGAAATATTGCCAGTCTCCCTCGTTCTTCTACTTTAAATATTTCTAGAGTGTCTTACTCCAATTACGTAACTACTCAAGTGCATTTACATCATAATAAAATTCGCTCTTCCAAAATACTTTCAATCTCTCTCGATGCAAACTTAAATATGTAATTTTCAAATTTGGCTATACTTTCTTTGTCATAGCCTCCTCGAGTCAGACCAATTCATAAACAGCATCTTATTGCTATGTTCCTAATTCGCTGAAAAACCATTAGGAAGTGGTAATATTCAAGCCAATTTCCTAGCTTTGTACCGAGTGCTGCTTCACAAAGCCCTTTCTTTCTAGCTCGCAAAAAGAGGTAGTGTAGCCCGGAGCTAAATCACACATCCAGAGAATTCAAACACAGAGGCCATCAGAAACATAGTAGAAAAAGCGGTTATTCAGGGCGAAACATAATAAATTGAGGACTAGGACCGATTAAAGTAAAGCTAAAAGGAGTCCACAAAATTAATAACGAAGGAAATTTAAAGAAAAAAGGGTTAAGATACTCACTAGCGTTTTGTGATAGCTAAAGCACAACGAGTGAAGATTGAGGAAACGGATGAGGCGACGCGTCAGAACTTGATATCTATCACACGGTTAAATTTTTTGCAAGTAAGAATTACAATACCAACAAGTCGAAATTTCATGTGACAGGATAGCAATAAGTAATACAATCATGTCTGACAAGTGGAGCAATGCGGTAATGATGGAAAAGACTTAAATGTGTGCGCAAATTCACATTGAAATCTAGTGATCAAACGACTCGAATTAATAATGGCTTAATCCAGTTCATCGATTCGGTCTCACCTTATACATATTGACAGAGATAGGTGCATGCAGCCACCGCATCCAATCAGTGCATTTTGACCCTTACGGGCCGCTCATTTTGACTGTTCTCATTGCTAGGTACTGATTTTCCACAATTATGCAACATGTTTGAGAGTTATTTTGATGAAGTAATGCAAGCATATTACTCAACAATATACTGTTTTGTCCATTTTTTTTTTATCGATAATTCATTATTGTTAGTTCTTTACCACTCATTTCTTCTTCGCCTAAAATTTCATTCAAACAGAATGGTAGATAAGCGCATGGTAAAGATAACGATCTTTACTCTGGAAAAATTAAGTAAAACAATAGAGTGAATTTGTCATGTTCCACTCCTTATTTTTTTTGAGTGATTGTGAAATTTGTGTTGTAAAATTTGAAATACCTTTTTTGCAGCACACAGAGTAGCATTCAAGGGAATCTGCTTCACCGTCATTGTAGGAAATCCAAATGACAAAAAATCTATCTTCAACGCTCTAAGTGGATTTCTTTGGTTAGCAGCGCGTTGAAGTAAGGTATCTTGATTCCCATTCGGACAGCACTTTTGGTATCACAAAAGCTGCACGAACTTTTAGAAATGATTTAGAAATGATTCTTGATCGGACTTTTGTGTCTGGAGGTTATGAAGATATCACAACAACTGTAATGTTTGTGGGTGATTGCATTACAAAGGCACCGTTTAATTTCCGCTCTGCTAGATTCTCCTCACTGCTCGGTTATTTAAGCCATTATTCATTGGAAAGAACTCAGAGATATTCTATTAAACGGTTACACATACAAACACAAAGCAAAAGGTTTTAACGTGCTGAGATTGTGTTGACGCATTTGTACACAAAAAAGCATTTCTTTAAATGAAAATCGAAGAACATTGCTCAGAAAGGAAGCAAAACAATTCGCCTGGGAAAGACCATATTGCTTTGATGTGTTTATTGTCGATGGCATATCTTCAATTTATGTATTTTTTCACACATTTTCCTTTATCCTGTTATACACTCGATTTTGATCGCCCCGCAAAAGTACATTTCTCTCCATCTCTTTTATATCATTGTGATAACTAAAGTAAAGAATGTACATCGCATAGAATCCTTTTTTCACTATTATTATGTCAAGATAGACATTAAAGCACTCGAAGATTTTAACCAGATCCTGGTGTCTGAAAACTCGATACGAGCATCACGCACCAGAAACAAGAAATTCAGTGCACGCAATTATGTTTTTAGTAGTAGGTTTTAGAAATGTTTTACCGCTCGAAAGGAAAACAGATGACAGAAACAAACTAAAGCACACTTTCTCCATTAAACAACTAGGTCTTCTAAAACAAATTAATGAACAGTGATAGTGATAAACAGATTTAAGAAAGCCGTGGTAAGCCGCTTCAATCACTGATAGCCTCCTGAGACTGACCTGCATTTTTTGTTTTTGCTTTGGTTTGTTTTTCTCCTTCGAACTTCCGTTCAGCTCGATGAAATCAGCGTTTCCAGTCTAGGCTGAGCTGAGCTACCGGTTCTTGTCTGCGAGAAAATTTACTGGTTCAAACCAAAATACCACAATGTGTCACGTGAGTCCTATTTCGGTAATAAATGCTGGCCAACATCCATTCTTAGCGGGATAATTCATCAATAATATTCCAAATACTTCCTTTGTCAAGCATAAATCTATTCATAAGGTTGAGGCAGTCGTATCTGTCAGTTTTAATGGTGCATTATAAGAGTTGTGTTCCACTCCGGCCTGCCTCCGAATAGTTCTTCGCCATCTTTAAAAATGGTGTTGTAAAAATGTATTTATAATCTGGCGCATCCTTGTCAATCCTAAACCTTTGGACAGAAGCACAATACCAAGCAAATGGAAAATTTCATTTTCTTACAGGGTAATGGTATTCTGAAAACTGAATATTGATTTCTTATTTCATCTCATACACACAAAACTGACATGAGAAACTCTGGTCGGAAGAGATCTTTGCTGTAGGGGATCAGATTTGCAAATTATTACATGCCTCTTGCGACGAAGCTATCTCAATTGAATAGGAGTAGGAAGCTCTCGTTAGCAACTTAAGAGCCTCAGCATATCAGTTAGTCGCCTGAGGAGGTTATTGCGACTATATTTGAGCACAATCCGTAGATTCATTGTTTCAGTGATTTGATAGTTTGCTGTAAGAACCCAAATACAATTTGAAAAAAGATATATCAGTAAACATTTATTCACCTCAACTTTATCATATAAAAATTGCATTTTAGAGTTAGGAGCATTACTGATTTCCAGCTAGTTCAATCTTTCATAAAATCATCAGCCATAGATTTTGTAGACATGACTTGCTTCATTAGTTACCTTGATGAATTAGGAAATGAATATTCTGTCTCACTTTCTCATGTACTTATTTATTATTTCACCATTACGCCTTTTTACCACATTAGGAAAATCAAACCCGCAAAATACACGACGATATTACATTATAGTACGGGGCAAAAATACGGACGGAAAGCGGAGGAACAAAATGGCCACAATGAACGATCAAAATACGCCTTTTTTCCGCTTTTTAGGCTTGACTTTTTAAGCAACAAACTTTGAAGTGCGTCGGTTTCTTTTTGGGTTGGTCATCAGGAACACTGAAATGAACTCTTTTGTGTTGTTTCCGCCTTTCACGCACGACGCCATATGCTATTGATTTAATGTTTAAATATGGCCGTAGGAAGCATGAGAACATAACCCTAAGCCGACTTTTAGTAAACGAATAAATCTTCCCGCCAGGTGTGTAGTGAAATGAAAGGCATAAACATGGACGTTCAACATTTCCATCCTTTGCCGTTGCAACCTTGTATCACGTTTAGAGGAAATTAGTAATCAGTGAGAATTTTAAATTGCTTGTTTGAAGCGCGATGAAAGTAAATAGCTTATTTTGATTGATTATATTAGACAAAAACCGAAAATTTGACTGGCTCTCGGTTGTTTTCGGAAAATTTCTAAAGCCTAGCTTTGAATTTAAGAGATTGAGCTTTCTCAGATATCATTTAATTTTGAGTTATCAACAGAATTCCTGACGCATCATTTTTCATAATCAGTAAAAGAGTATACAGGGAGGCTAGTAATAAAGAGCCTCTGAGGAAGGTCTGCTGTCTCCAGTCCTCGATCTGCGGGCATCGAAGTTTGAAGGCTTCTCCCGTTCAATCCCTAGTGATCTGTTGCTTGGGTACTCTGGGACCATAAACCTTTTTGAGCTGCCGTATCTCGTGGGTGTGGCAGGTGAATATGGGCTTCGTTGGTATCTGAGAGTTTCATTCTGTCTGAAGTAAAGGCAAGGAGAAATGTTGACTCGGAACTCTATTTGGTTTCCGTGCTTGAAAATGAACTCAGGAATAATTACCTGTTACATGATAGCAACCATCCTGAATTTCATGTTGAGTAACAAAGGTGTGTAAAGAGGGTCTCAATGGAGGTGATGACTTTTACAGCTAATAATTAAAATGTTGGCCATTTTACGGCTATCGGTCAATTTCTTCCCCATGTTGTTAAAAGAAAACTTTTTAAGGTTAACTTTTATACGATCAACGGTTAAAACTCGCCAATTTTTATGCCTAACGGCTAATTTTTTTTCCGTTTTACAGCTAAGAGTCAACCTTATCGAGACCGTCTCGAAAAATACATCAGCAAATAAAGAGATTACACATTGCATTGAATTTATTCTTAAAAGTATGCGTCAAGTTTCTCTTTCTTATTCCTTACGTCTTGAAGGAATTTCGGCGTCGAGTTAGTATTGTATCCATTAACGTTCTTTTTTTTTTGCGCTGTATGATTTGTCGTGGTCAGTGGGGCACTTTGGTTCTAGTTAACGAGAGAACTGAGGCGCTCAAGCGCCCCTCTTACTTTTGAAGCCCTATTACGATTTGTCAAAAAGGCTGTGTGGCGTAACTTGAATTTCTTCCCCAGTAACATATGTTGCAGTTAATCGCCCATAAATAATATTAGTGCGAAAACTGCAAATGATTTTAATATTTCTTAGGTTCACTTTGCGTTAACAAAAGAAAGTTCTTAGAGTCTTAAAAGTCTTTGCCTTTTTATGTGATCAAAGACCTCGTAAGTGCTCTAAACGAGTTAGTTGTGCTGTTATAAAATTTGAATATTACTTATGAAAATAACATGGATTTTTTTTAATGCTACTTAATGTTGAATAAAAGTGTTATGTGATCTTATTGGTCCTTGGTTGTGTTTTAAAAATCAAATGGAGGGTATTAGGCCTTAATAGGAAGGCAATTAGAGGAGCGCTGCGGCGTCAGCGTGGAATACTTTTTCCCCTTTTTATAGCTTGCTGAAAGAAAAATGAAACACAGCACCATAAAAAATAAAAATAAAATGACATATCAAAGGACTAAGTGAAAAAGAGAGTGCAGGGAATATTAAGGACGGAGATCATTAACGTTGATGCATAAAGAATGAGGAGGTTTTTAGATTATTATGCTTCGTGAAACAAATGCTTAGCTTTGAAGAGCAGAAAAAATCAATTGACTATGCAGTCTTATATAGGAGCCAGCTAAAAAGAGAGATTTTCATCACAAAGAACTAAAGCCTTTCTTGGTCTTCCGGAAAGGGCTGAGGAGGAATTCCATTTGTCTGTTTGTTTTTCGGCCATATTGCAAGTCAGCTTTTCAATAAAATATATCATTTTAGTTACTACATATAGCGGACATGTTTCACATTCTTTACTGTAAGATTTAAGATCAAAACGTCTTCATGAACGTGGACAGAACTTATAATTTTTGTTTGAAAGGGGTGCACCTGGCTTACCTCTCGCCGTTCATATCTCTTGTGTGAACATCTTTTGTGCCGAATGTCCCTACCACTGAACCATTTTCAGACTTCTTCTGCGGTAAGGTTCTACCACGCTGCCAGTTGTAGTTGTGTCCTTCTATCATGTAATCAGGAGGCGGGGTCTTGACGGGGCCGTGTATGAATGGATCAACTTCCGGCAGTGTTTTCCGTTCAACCGGTCCATATGCGTTTAATTTTGGCAACTCTTTGACGTGTAAATGTTGCTTGTTTTCATTGTGGCGATAGTATATGAAAATACCAACGATAATTGCAAGAACAAGTGCACCAGCAGCGCTGGCGATAAACACTATTATATAGTCAGACCCGTGATCTGAAAAGAAGATCACGCAAATTATAAGTGTTTGTATTTTTTTTTTAGCTGCGACTATCAGGCATTTAGATCAATGTAAACCACAAGCTTATATCATTTCTGGATATTTCCATTAAAAAGCAACTTGAGTAAATAAAACTTTGATACAAGCGAAATAATTCACCTCTCCAAGAACGGAATAGGGAAGATTCAAAGTTAATGGCAAGCATTTTGCATTGGGCTCAGTGAAGTAGTGTGAATGATTCGCCGAAAACTTAGCCAACAGCGCAGACCCCAGTTTGACTTTGTTCATTCTCGCTTTCCTGGTCTTGAATGCAATTTCATATTTTGGAGGTTTATACGATAGGGTGATAAACAAACGAACGGGCTTTTTCTCTCTACCCCAATATAGGGTTGTTACCGAACCTTAGTCGTTCTCATATACTTTGCACGAACAAAAGCCACACAAACAGTGCACCTGCAATCCCAAGTGATCTGACGTTAGAATCAGAAGAGGAGCCAGCCTGCTCCACATAAGGAGTGTCGATGACAATTGTATCTTCCCCAGTGTTGGCGCTGACGGTTGTCGTGACATTCCCAACTGTCTTTGAAAGCAGGGTCAGTGGAATGGAACTGGAGGGAGAGAGAGAGGTTGCTGTTGGAGATATTGCTACCAATACCGATGAGGAACTGACCAATGAAGAGGTAGGGGCTGATACAATGCTTGTTGTTGTGGTTTCCGTTCCTGTTGGTAGCTCTTTAAAAAAACGCAATAATGATAATACGTAAGAATATCTTAGGACGCGACAGTTCGTTGGAATAGATTAGATTTTACCCATATCACGTCTTAAGCTTTGAGACACTATGAAATTAGGCATTGCGCAGAAATGGTAAAACGCAAGTTACTTTCGACTTTTTTCCTATGGACAAGACGATGCTCAGCAGTAAAACCTCTAGAGCTGAAACTCTTGTTGCATCACACAGCGTAGATTTCCATTTTTTTTTTCCAAAAAGCAGCTCAACGCTCTGAACGAGGGAATGAGCTGGTGTCAGTTTTCTGCATGTATACAAATAATTTTGTTATTCTTAATCTTCAGATTCAAAATATGTTGTTAGACCTTAGTTTATCTTTTTCCGCTATGACAATACATAGCTGGAGGGGTGAAGTTAGACTTTCCTCATTACTTAAAGAGGTATAAGGGTAAAAACGGCAGTTTTCAACAGCATTCACGAAGATTGATATTACTCACCGCATGTATAAACCAAAAACAAATACGAATGCTTCTTCTGCGGGAAAAGATCTCCGAAGAGTCCAGCATTAATTTTCAACCTGCACTTGTTTCTCCTTTCACATAGGGCTTTAAACTTGTTTGTGACGTCAGCGTCGCCCCACTTGTAATTCGTGTCATTATCGTGTCCGTCGTAGGGGCACAGCACGCGACCAGGCTGTGTTCGTCCATAGTGTGCAAAATAAATATTCAGCCCCAAGCTTGCGTTTGCGCAATGGATCACGAGGTGTTCTCCGTCACATGCTACTTCGCTTTCTATAGTTTCAAAATCTGGTAAGGAGCTCGCTGAAAAATAAAAAACAAACTTTGATTGGTCTCAGAGATTTGAGCTTGCTTGAAGTGGCTTAATGCCTTTGCTTTAAGTCACTTAATGCAACGAAATTCGAATTATTAGGCAAAGTTCTGGTTAAGTACATAAGCATTGAGAGATGGAGCAGAAGCTTATAACCAAGGTCGTAAGCTCCTGGTGGAGACAGTTATTATCCACCTTTGATCCATGAAACTGAATACTATTTTCCAAAGCTCTTAATTAAGCCCAAAAAAGATCGCAAGGAGAATAAAACTCTCAAAATTGTTATTCTTTTTTCTTTTCATCGGAGGTTGATTTAAAAATAAAAAATAAAAAAAGCTAAGAAAATTTAGGACTCCTCTAAACAAATTAAAGTTAAGAAAATCAATTGTTGAACATCGTGGTTTCATGAAATCTCGGTCCATGTAAAAAAAAAAATTTGTTTGAGAATTTCAATTTCTGGGCTGCTTTATGTCATGTACACTGAATTCCAATAGCAAAGATCGAACCATAATACAGCAAAAAAGTTAGATCGCCCTCTCGTTCTCAAGAAATTAAATGAAATGATTTATTTGCAGAAATGGCTCTTAAATGGGGCCATTGTTATGTATTAAATGTGACAGAGTCAGTCATGAAAACCATACGGGCATTTCTGACCTGCCGAAACTATTGCAAATTGGATTGTCCGTGAATTGCTTTATGTGGTATAACTAAATTCGGAGATTATGTCGTTTATTGCACTGTTAATCTAATAATGTTTGTGAACTTGGGGCAGAAATTTACCATTATTATTAGGGTCTTGTCCCTCATATAACCTTCTGCCGATACAACTGTACATGTTCAGTTGATCCAACTCAAATAGAAGTTTGTCACTTAGTACTCCTATCAATCGCTAACAAAAAAAAATGACGTTTCATATTTGTTAATTGACTCTTAGACCTTACAATCAATCTACGTTATACAAAGTCCACTATCAACAGTAGTTCTGTTAGGCCAAGTTGTTACAAATTGATAAAACTACCCGATAATCGATCAGTGTCAGAGAACTAAAATAGCAGTGATAGAAGTTGAAAAAAAAAAGAAAGAAAAAACTCCAGTGGAGCATTTTTACAGTTTAATAATTCATTCAGTTGAAGCTGAGTTCTCAAAAACACTACCCTCAGGATTTAGCTCTTCAGCGAGATTTCTAATTTTATTTGTCGTTTAGTTTTAAAGTTTCGTGTATGAAGGTCTCGTCTAGTTGCTATAAATTTTCTGTTTTTCGTCATTCTCATTGCGGAGTTCAATTTTGAACATATCTTTAAAAAACGGAGACCAAACTGGTGCTAACTTCTATCTCTTTGAGTTCAATTATTTCCTTTTCTTAAAGCTAATTTTGCAAATGAACCCATGATAGAAGTCGATATAATTCTTACTTGAAAAGAAATTTTTCTCAATTGTAAAGATGCTTGTATATTGACGATATTGATCAAACGCTATTTTTGTCGAAAAATTATCTAAACGAAGACACTTCCCTTATATTTACGTTTGTTTTCCGTCAAAAATACTCAGTGCAGTGAGAGGAACCGTTTGTACCAATCAATGATTTACTCTTTGAAAATAAAACCTATTTTCGGGATCTTGTGTCTCTTTTTAAGGACTCAGTTTATTTGATTTCCGAAAAACACTCTACATTGATGATTGTTGTCTCATATCATATGCTGACTATTTCATATGGATACAGAAAGAAAAAAAAGGTGTTTTTTTGCCAACACTAACGAACATATTTTCTGTTTCACACTAAACTACACAATTTGACGAAATTATTCGAAGGCGGTTGGTTTGATTTGCACCATTCCTTAAAAGATTAAAAAAAAAAAAGACTATCGCTGCTCTATCCATCTCTATTTTAAAACAGATCGAAAACACCCGGTAAAAATGAAGTAGACAAAATAGTACTAATCTAATTACATGTTATTTTTCCAAACTTGCAATGTAATAAATGAAGAATTACTCTGTAAAGATATTCCTTGAGATCGAGGTAAATATCGCAGTTATTTACTAAATAATGTTACGAGATTAATATATCAACTACTTCTCATCGAAATGTGAGTATACTAACACTTTTATGGAAAGTTTTTAAATAAAACTCGAAACATTTTAGATCCGATGAATTTGCCAACAGTGAAAAATTCATCAAGTATGCTCTAACCAGAGCAAGCATTTTCTACCATGCCAGAGAGAAGTAACTGCCTTGATTAAAAATATTGTTATGTCACATTCTAGTTGTCATTCTCAATAAGTTTCGTTCGCATTATATTTCTCTACCTTTAAGAAAGCCTAGTATTGTGTATAAAGTTTTAAATTCATGGCAATTAAATTTTAAATTCACAAGAAGCAGTTTAGAAAATATTTCGGAGAGCACATCTGTGGAGTTTCCATAGTCGATGAAATTAATACCCCAAATTACCCAAAGAGCTGTACTTTATTAGAACCTAGCATTTAATTTGGAATCGATCCCAGCTGAACAAAGCGGAATACAAACACAAAATTTAAATGTATCATAGACATTCATGCATTTGTTGTGTGGTTTTATACTAAGATTAACTGCAATCCTATTGGTCAACGCAAACGAATACTAGAATTTCTCAGCTGGGCGTTCTTTAAGCGTTGTGCAAATTACTCCGCCTTTTAAAGAAAACAAGATTTTCGAGAATGATTGAATCAAAAATAGCTTACATGAAACAAGTATCATTGTCTTAGAAGCCGCAAAACTGCGACAATTGCGTTAAGGGAACTCACGGAGCTACCTCTCTCGGTACCCAATCAACAACTTATGCGGTTGAATCGTAAACATACAAGATTAATCGTGACGGGATTTCTTTGAGTCTAAATTAAACGTTTTCATTCGTGATAATAAGCGGCAAACCTCGAACTGAACTTAAAATTCAATGGTATAACACCCTTGAACCAAAGAATGCCGCCAGGCGTAATTTCCGAGAAAGCTGAAAGAGATATCTCGGTCGCTTTAGCTAATTTCGAAAAATCTCAGCAACATTAGCGCTGGATGAAAAAGGGAACAATTACATATCAATAACTGATATCCTTGAACTCGCGTGTTAATATTTGTTTAAGGCCTCATATCTTTGTCGATCGAACAAAATGTTATTGAAAGTGCCCATTTCAGAGCCCAGCCCTTGAAGAGCTGTTTACACTACAGATGAAGTCTGAAACTTTCCTCGAAATGTGACCTCTTCGAGAGATTAATCCAATGCGTAAGCCTCAGTAAATCATTTAAAAAATTTTACGTTCAACGTACAAACTGTAAACAAAGAGCATAAATAGTAGAGGAATATTAGATGAAACTGTAATAAAGAATCAGAGAAAACTGTAGAGTTTACCTCCACAATGAAGAAAAAAATCACTGAGAAGCAGCGGAAAGACCTATGGCATAAAATACAAAAAAAAACATGTGAATTCTTAACAGCGCAATCACTGCTCATTCGTGTTCGGCTTAAAACAGTTCGCTAGTAACTGTACGCAAATTACAGTTCACTTACCAATTTCAAAACACTCGCTTTGTACAATAGCTCAGAGGCCATTTCAGTGCCATGTAGAGATTCCAACAATTTCACTTTGGTGGCGCTGAATCGTGATCTACCCTGGGTAAGAGAGAAGTTAAAGAATTAAAGCGAGGGTGAAATATCAAGCCGAGAGTGCGAGTCCCCCTCAGTTTTCTACTAATATATCTTCATGAACTGTTGCCGCAGGGGTTTTGTTGAATCATCGCTCACCGCACCACCTGTCTTAGCACTGCAGACAATACACAAATCTTGCGTCAGAATTTTAATCAGCAAAGGTTTCAACTAAACCCAAATTTTAACAAAGGAAGACGAAGAAAAGAATTTCTAATAAAGGCAGCAAAGAATTAACGAATTAAGAACACTCTCCAAGCGGGTCATTTAGCAAAAAGCGAATGTTTTTGTGAACATGCTTCATTTGAAAACAGCGCGTAGACTAGGGCGCGTCCGATGTTGCCAAACTGGATGAAGTCAGAATGGCGACTCTCAGCAAAATGGATTAATCTTCTCAAATTAATAAGTAAAATCTTAATCAAAGCTTCACAGTTCAGCCTTTCTTTTTTTAAAAGAAGGATTTACACCCAAGCATTCTGCGATGACGCCTTTCTAAGTAAACATTTTGACTTCTCTATGAACCTTGTACCAATTAAATCAATATTTCAGCTTTATGCCTACCTGCGGGGCAAAAACGTCTGTTGATCGAAGATGAAAAGAATGAAAACTGTACGCCAGTTCAACTGGTTTTGCTAACGAGCTCCGAAACCCACGGTTATTTATGTGCAAACAACAATGTCATCGTAGATGTTAATCAATCGTAGCAACTTCCTATTTGTGATATACTTTTTCCTTGTCAAAGTTAGCATTAGCAATTTTTTTGTTCTCCTATGACTCTTTAATTAAACGTCAACGAGTGACCATACTTTCATCTCACCACATTTGTATTCATTTGGAAGCAATTATTAAATTTGACTGATCCTTGACGTGAACAACCCACCATTAGTCACGAAAAATTTATTCCATTGTTCTTGCTGTTAGTTTTTTATCTTTAATCTAGATTGCCGATCTAAAGTTGTGAGACCAACGTTTACTTTACAACTTCCGGTTTGACATTTGAAGATAGCTTGGCAAGAAAGACGCGAAAACGTGCGGCTACTGAAATCTCTACTGCTAGTAATTAGGTTTATCTGTATCTTTCTTGACTCTTCGCTACTTTATGGCCTTTGTTGGGAATATATGTGTGAATCAAATTTTTAATAGCAAAATAAGGGCACAAATTATCTTGACGCACACTTTTCTTTATTGTCTCAATCACATCGGCATAATTTTCCATCCACGTTCAACCGAAAAAGACAAATGATAAACTTCCCATTCAGAGCTATATTTGGATAGTCCACAATTGCGGTTATCCGAAGTACTCTTTGCCAAAAGGATTGAATAGTTGCCTGGATAATACAGTACGGTAATTCGCTTGTTTTAATCAATGCTCGTCAAGGAAGTCGGTACGACAATTGGAGGAAAATGAAGCATTAAGAAGTGGGTTTCGTAGATTTGTACGCAACTCTACGTCGTCTGCACCAAATTACTCAAGTTACAGATCAATGGTTTTTCAAGCACTCATACCCTTTGATACGTATTTGCCTTTTTTATTCGTTCTGCCTCTCATGCACAACTTTTCCCCTCTTTTCCTTCATTTCTCCGCTTTTCGTTTGAATTTGAGTCTCTTGTTTATATGAAGACTGTAATCCCACGCAATGCCGACGCGCTTTTTCCTTCAGTGACTCAATTCAGCACGAATGAAAAGAAAAATGTTTATCTAATCCCTACTAATGTGCACGTTGTTGGGTCATTGAACGTTTTTTTCTCAGTGGTTATTGGTTTTATAATAAGATTTTTGGGCTAAATTTAGAAACCCGCCTCCTTAAGCATCAGATGTCAGATGGTTTCCAAGAAAAGTACCCACCGAAGTGAAGTTATTGCCCATCTCACCAATTACGCTATTCCATCCTCTGAATCTTAAAATATCACTGAAAAAGATCTATAGGTTTCGACCCGTTGAACTTGCACCCGGGAGCGTTTTCGAAGCTTCTAGAAAGAGTTATCACAGATGCGTGATTCTCTTCATCGCCGAGTTGAGCTAAAACAAATAAATTAAACGACCAATTTTAAGTAACTGCGAGCTTTCCGTCTGATGATATGGAAAAAGTAAACTACAATAAAATTTGTGAGGCTATCATTCAGTCGCTTTGCCGCAAACGGCACATTTAGAACTGTTACTTACGGAATGAAATTTGCCCTCACAACTTTGATTCATTTAGTATCTATACCTGGAAGGATTTGCATATCCTTTCCGGTTCGACATCTTGTAGAAATGTTTCGAATGCCTTACTTCTATCACTTCCTGATACTGCAAATGGTCTTAATCGGGTTATAGCAGAATGCTTTTCAAACAATTTGGTTCTATCAATCGAGTTGATGTAAATTTGTCACCGCAAAGAGTTTTAAAGACTGACATTTCGAGCGTTAGACCTTCGGTAGAGTTAATAATGAAATCTTGTAATAGTTGGACAAACGATCGTGGCGAAAAAAGATACGAGAGTAAATTAAAGGACTGACAATCCATGCGCGGGTAAAGTTATACAATCTGACATTACCTCACTTGTTATCACGTGACAATACTCAAACTGAATGGGAAGACGACTTTCCAAGTTGCTAATGGGTACAAAACATTTAAAACTATGGAGCTGTTGTTCCCCCGACGAAAATGCTACAGTTATGCAACCGTTAACACTCGGGTTCCTCACAATAACAACTGAAAATCTAGTAGAATCCATGCTGCGTATAAGGTATTGAATCAATATACTTTGTTTAGCAATTTTGATTTGTTTTCCTTTACTTTTCAAATTTCCGTATTTTGTATTCCATAACAATTTCTCCACATCGATTATGTGACTGTCTTTAGGGCTGCCAAGTCTAAATGTTTTCGTTTAAATCTTACCTTTAATATCAACGTTGTTAGTCTTTATAGGCGCACTGTATACTATTCTGTGGATCACCATCAACGCCCCCCTTTAAATTATAAAGATTAAGGTTATATTTAAACTGAGACCGCATCCGCTTTCTTCAGTATTCACAACAATCTAGTAGCTTACTCCAGAGAACAATCAATACAAATACTAAGAATACAAAATATAACGTGCTTTTCAAAACATATTTTTAGCAGAAGCCATCACGGAAGGAAGATCTCCAGCTGAGCTTCAACTTCCTTCCACTCAAAAATTTAAAACTCACTGAGCATCATCACATCGTCTAATAGTTCACTGAGATAACTTTCAGCTTAACCTTTCCTCTTTCACTCTGTTTGTTTTGTAACACATGCGCATCATAAAACAGACCTGCAAAATTTCGGATCTCTACCAAAGTGGATTGAAAAATCAACAGAAGAATGACAGCAAAGGTCTCAAAACAACCTGGCGACTTTCAACCAATAAAATTGAAACAATAAATTCATAAATGTTTTATTCTCTCGCTTTATTTTTGAATTTGATTTTGAATAATACTTATTTCTCAGACACCAGGAGGCAATAGCCAGAAATAGATAATTTGTTTGTAAATATCCCCCATATTGAATTTCCAACACTTCTTTGCAGCCCATATAAATAAATTGTTCACAGAATTGATTGATTATCATAGAAAGGTATCATCTTACGTATGTTCTTGGGGATCCTTTTTTCATCGAGAGTCATTTTTGTCAAAGAAAATAATAATAAAGCAAAATTCTCTGAGAACACTCTCGTCGAAATGTAGGGGCATAATTTTGTAGGTCAAGGGCCAATCAGGATTTAACGATTTATTAGTGGAAGCAAATTTCAACATATTTTTTTTCTTTTTTTTCTTTTTAACGGATACTAGAACTTGGTTGCTACACAACCAAATGCAATGCTATTTCCGACTAATAGCAGATTGAAATCGGCTCCACAATCGTTGATTGGGACAACTTGGAGGTTTCTACTCTTATTCCTGTAAGAGTCGTCTCTTTATGATTCTTATTACCAAAAGCTTTTAAGCCTTCGACTCCTAGAGGTGATTAAAATGCAATTTCTCCAAATTCAACCCAACACTTTGTCCAGCAAATGGGTGATAGGAATAGACAAATTTATAGGCTAAAGGGCGCCACTTTGAAAAGGAACTAATTTCCATTCACTTGTTTACAAGGAAATGTATAACAAACGGAAGGGAAGAATAACTGATCAGATCTTTACAATTAGTACAGTGTATTACACTTTTGGACAAGCATCACCAGCTATAACAAATGACGATGGGCCAGAATTTCGGCCGCCGTGAGCGGTCGGGCGTCCTCTGAAATCCGTCGTATGGGCGGCTGCGTGAGACTCTCACGGGTGAGAGTCAGTCTTGGCTCCTTATTGCTCACATTGTCACGATATTTTGACAAACGAAGTTCAAGTTCTGGTGCTCTTAGCCTCGATGAACTATCAAATTCCTTCGTGGAGTCACTTGAAGACTCCTCATCTATATCTGGGACAACTTGTGCAGGTTCACTGACTGTGTTAGTAAGATACCTACTGAAACGAAAAAGTGAAATTTACAAAGGATTCTTTTTTGTATAAATACTCTCTAATTGGAAGGAAAAGGTGGGCGAGGGAATGGGGAAGAGAGCCCAGTAAAGAAGGGTTAGGTTTCTATAGCGCAGTTGTAATGCGGCCAATTTTCTTGTCACAAAGGGCAGTTCAAGATATGTCGGTGCCAAGTGAGAAAGTTCACCTTAAGGCGTCAAGAAATGCTTTTTTAGATGGTAATGGAAAGTAATGACGATTAGACGATGCGTTGGGAAATGGGAATGATTCGTTGCCTTTTCAATTTTAAGAGATACTTCATTTGGTAATCTCACCAACCTCATGGCACAATGAAACTACAATCATTTTGAACACTGCAAGAAGGTTGTTGCTCTTGCAGCACCAGGAGAAGCGATTCTTTTGCGATGAACTGTTACTGATTTACTCACCTTGCTGTCATAGTGTTCCTCAGGAAATCCAACACACCAGAGGCTGTAAGTCTCTTTTGAGGGTCTAGCATTAGCAACAGACCTATCAGTGACTTGGTGTTATCAGACACGCGCCCGTCGCTGAGGGGGAATTGAAAAGGAAAACATTAGTCATAATCACTTTGTTGAGCACTAGTTTCATGGACGCGTCCACACGTGGTCTTGGACACAGTGAAAGGGAAGTGGACTCTAGCTCACCTACTGTACACGGAAACTGTTACTTAATATGAAATGCATGAAATAACTCCGTCCTTAACCCTCTAACCTCTAAAGTGATCTCTATTTAAATTCTTCCATCAATAATCCATTGTTAAATTGTTCAGATGGAACGAAATAATCAATTTAGGGGTATAGTTGAACCCCGATAACTCGAACCCTCGATAACTCGAATTTCCCGCTAACTCGAAGCAAAACTGATTTCCCTTGGATTTGCCTCATGCATATACTGTAAGTTTAACATCAATAACTCGAAACTCCGATATCTCGAAGTGGTATTTACTTCCCTTCAGGTACTTTTTTTGGTAATTTTACCCTCGATAACTCGAAGTCGATTTTCACTTTCGCGGACTAATGAGCCATAACATTTTGCACCGGAAGAGTACATTTAATCTCATCCATATATTATGACAAGTTACCCTACCAACTGTTACTCCCTTCTTGCTTAATCTGCCAGGTTTTCAAAACAAAATTAAAGAATGAGAAATGGCAGAAGGGGATGGAAGAGGGAAAGGGTAAGGGTAAGGGGAGGGTGCTACGTTTCCTGAGACCCCGAAGGGCCTTTCTTCCCAATTTTCATGCAGCGGTGATCTTTTTCATTTGCACCCAAATATTTTCGCTTACTCAGCTGATTGAGGTTGCAGAGAGACTGTTCATATTCTGACAATGCCAAGAACCTCATAGCATCCAAAGACTTTTTAACTTATTCATATTTAATAAAATATTATCAAAAACTGTCTTTTTCTAAGACGTTGTGAGGCTGTGAATAAGTGAATTTTCCACAAAAATATACTCACTTTGGAAGTACAAACTCTGCAGTTTTGATCTTTCTGAACAGCTCGTGAGGTATGCTGTCATAGAATGGAAACTGACCGTACAGCATGGTGTATAAAACGACTCCAAGAGCCCACATGTCACTTGCTTTCCCTGAATAAGGAGCCCCTTTAAAAAACAAAAGAGGGAGTTCAACTTTTTTGCTCATCGTTAGCATTCAATGAAGGTAATAGCTTTGGATTAAACTCTCCTTTTTCGGGCAGAAAGTGAAGGTGAGTGAGTGAAGTGATAAACAAGATGCCTTGCATCATAATGAGGTATGCTGTTGACTAAAATTTCAAAAATGCATTATAACCATAAAGTTTAGTCTAGAGACAGACAGACAGACAAAGAAGTAGAAGGCGGAGGAGTTTACGTTAAAAGGATAACGACTTCTCTCAAAATTAAAATGCTAATAAACATGTGTTAATAAATACCAACAGGTGCAATAGACCCCTCCCTTAAACAGACATTTAGAGTCAGTCCTTGATATTTGAATTCTTTGTTGGTTTTCTTACGGCTACATTGTACTTTAGACGGATACTTTTCTGAGATGGGCAGTTGGTACCAATCACAAGAGCACGAGTGTTACAGGGAGTTGATCCGCGTGAAAGAAACATGAACTAAAGATGTCTGGACTATATAGTCAAGACAGTGACTGATCTTTGTAAGGTCATAATTCTTGCTCGCCAGGTATTTTCACTCCAGTGTCATAGCATCTAGTCAAGAACATCAATTATTCTGTCCACAAAATGATGATCTCAGAGACCAAAGTGAGGTATTAATAAAACAATTTCACTCACCACTAAGAACATCTGGACTAATGTAAGCTGGACTTCCTCGCTGGTCTTTCAACAGATCATTATCTCGTATAAGATGCTTCCCCAGGCAAAAATTTGTAATTGTTATTCTTTTTGTGCTAAAGGGAATATTCAAGCAATCCATGTTAGACCTTCAAATATGGATAAGAGTGACAAGACAAGAACCCTTACGAAATTATATGGAAAAAGGTTCCTTGTTTATCCTGAAGAACTCAGGGGGTATATTGAACACTTGTTGATGTTTCTATGTTGCTTGTGTTGATAACACCAAGTCACACTCAGATCTCTATTAGCCTTTTGCACCCTTACATCATTATTCACGTTCTCCACAATTTTCTCTATACAATTTGCCTGGTATTGATAAGAAGAATCTGTTTTACAATCAAAGCTTCTGAGGGTGATGATAATTTCTCATATTCTCATAATCTTTGTGAATGTTTCAGCTGTACTGATGTAAGGTGAAATTAGACGCTCATAACCCCCAGGGTTTAAAGGTTTGAATGTGAGAGTAGTAGAGCATACCAACAAGTACATCCTGTCACCAGCTGAGAACATTCCAAACCTCTATATCATTAACAAGCACTCACACACTTGATCCAAAGAAGCAAGCTTCATTATAGACAATTTATAAATCTATCTAACTATTTTCATCAAGCAAATGTTGTATGAATATTAACAATATTGATTTTAGATTGTGCTACATCAAATACAATCACACTAATTATAAAATGATCCTGCTCAAATGTGCCCTTTGTCTGAATGACCAAATTATCAATTCAATAGTGAGTCAGGGTTTTTTTCAATTAGGTTTAAAACATTTCAATGGAATTGTGGCAGTAGTTTGGGAATTGATAAGGCCAGTGACTAATTTAGTTGCAAAAAGGTATGGCTGATCTGATCGGACTGATGTTAAGATTACTAATTCACACAGTTTGCAAATACTGGTTACCTTCTATTTAGCACAATATTTCCAAGTTTTAAGTCTCTGTGTACTATGTTTCTCTGTGAGGAAAAAAGCAATCTTTTAATATAGAACACTGGAGTCAAACTATGAGTATCTAACTATTGGCTAAAACAATTACAGCATTAATGTTAACAATCTAGTTCAGTTTGCACTTGTTTCTTAAAAGGGCCATTTTATGTTCTATTCATAGGAGGATAAAAAAAGAAAAACAAAATGAGTGCTATACAACCAAAACCAAATAAATCAAAAAGGCTAATCATAACAATGAAAGTATCACAAAAATTTAATGACAACTCTAAGTAAAAATAAGCAAACTGCCTGATGTGCAGGAGAGGTCAAGCAACTGAATCTCAGGTTTAGGTTTACACCTGTGGGAAACTAAAACAGAAATGACTTAACCTAATCACTTTCCCTTTTGAGTTTATCAATTGCTGTCAGTTTGCCTATGCATTCAAAGGAATCTCTTGTAACAAAGTACATATGTAGATGTATATGCACATATTACTTGTAAACCCATTTTTATTAAGCCTTTAACTCCCAAGATCTGACTACTTATTCTCCCCTCAAGCTGCTACACTTTTCATTGTGAATCAGTTAGGAGAATTTGGTATTAGATATAGGTAACAACTTCAACCTGATAAATTTGAGTAACTTCTCATCACCTGTTTGTTGGATAATGAATGGAGATTGTAGGGAGAAGTTACATGTTTGTCAGTTCTGGGAGTTAAAGGGTTAAACCTTTAACATTTTCACTCCCAAGATCCCATTAGTGGTTCTCTGCACCATCTGCCATGCAATCCTTATGATGTTAGTTAGTTCTCAGAAGTTGGTATTGGATCATCTAATGATCTCTCTATCAATATTTTTCTTTATTCTCATTGCTTGCTTGCTTGATATTGTATTGATATCGAGAGAAGAAATTCTCGCTTGGTCTCTTGTGGGAGTTAAATGGTTTATGGCTACTTTCAGGGGTGTTAGAGTTAGGATACAATGTACCACAAAAATAGTATTCAATATTTTGTGGAAATTAACTTAATATATAGATTTAGCCAAGTCTAAAAGCGGAGCTTGCATTTTTTTTTCCCACACGTCTCTTCAACAAAACTATGGATAACATGCATGTATCAATGGATTTTCATTTGCAACTTCTCCATGTCCATGTAGAGAACTGATTCTATTATAGATGCTATAAGGTTAAATGTTTAAGTCAGTAGGCAATTTTTGGAGGTCTCCATAAAAAAACTTGCAGCAAGAGGTTGAAATTTTTCAAAAACAGGCAAGAAAATTGTGCTAACTGTTAAAAAGTTTTCCCAACAATATGCAACAAGAAAATGTAAATTCATCTCGAACCCAGAGAATGCGTGCTACAAGCTCCAATGGTGTTGACATGCCCGTGGTACAGTTGGCTACGCATACAAGAAGTAGCACCTTGTATGTACAGCTGTATGGTTGTAAGTCCAAATTTTTTTGGCTTGATGGGTTACTACTATTTCGTATAATTATTGAGCTACACTGCGCGTGCTGCAAGCTCCACTATAAATAATTTGCAAACCGATGATATGTCACTCTTAGTCAGAACGTATCCTTACAATATAAATACAACATCAAGCAGGAAAGTGATGAGAAAAAGGAAATAATATATCAATTAGGGGATTGCAAGTGAAATGTATTAACCCTTTAATCCCTAACATCAGTAGGCATATTCTCCATACTGTTTTCTAGACATTTCCTATGATATTGACAAGGAGAATTTGTTTAACAATCAAGATCCTCTTTAGTTGGTGATCATTCCTTTATTCTCATGGCCTTAATCAGCAATTCAGGGGTTATATTGTAATGAGAAATTAGATGTTAGTCACTCTTAGGGGTTAAAAGGTTAAGTGGCCACCCATGGGGAATGGTGGGGTAACTGCTTACTAAAGGCTGGCTGTTAAATACAGGCTCCACAAACAAGGGGTAAAATTAAAAACGACAGAAAACCCTACCATTTAAAATGGTGATTTATGCCATAATTGGCCAGTTAGAGTAAAAACATATGCTAAAAAATACTACTAGCACTGATTTTGAGAGAGGATTAAATTTTACTTGAAAGATTATTGTTAGTTTTATTTGAGTGGTTCTGCTTTAAACCTTTAACTCACAGAAGTAATTAACATAAAACTTCTCCCTACAATATCCATACAATCTTCAGCAAACAGGTAATGAGAATATTCAAACTTATCAAGTAGAAGCTGCTATCTTGATCTAGCACCAAGTTCTCATAACTAATTTACAAGGAAATGTGTAGCAGCTACAGGGGAGAATTAACAATCAGATCTTGGGAGTTAAAGGGTTAAGTGAATGTTTAGTACAGGTGAAATACAATACAAATCCACTGCTGGGACTCACTCAAAGGTGACTGCAATTGTACAATAGAGGTGACTGCTCAATTAAGGTAAACATTACAGTGATTAAGGTGAAACAAATTCAGAACCTTGACCACTGATTGCTTTATAGAGTGTGGCTTGATACAGGTTTGACTTATCCAATATCAAATTCTCCAAACAATTATTGTAAAATTTGTATGGCAAACAATAAAAGAAATTACTGACGAGATCTTGGGAGTGAAAGGGTGATAAGTGCAGGAAAGTGAAGGAAAGTTCACATGTCAGCCCAGCTACTAATTAAAAGCTTAACTAACATTCAATGAACAACCCACAAAAGCCTGTTTCCAAAACTTCAAAATTATATGTTAAACAACAGATCTCAGTGTAAGGCTTTAAGACATTTGTGGGTTTACTCCTAAGGGTTTTGTTAATTGTTTTACACCGGATCTTAAAATATGCATAACCTTGGCCTTGAATAGAAAGAAAACCACTTTTTACCTGAAAGGTACAATACGACCCTGCCAACAGCTGAAAGAGTAGGTAGGGTAACTTGCCTCCATAGGGCAAAATGTCGACCTTATCTTTCCAGAGTTAAACAGCCGACTCATTTAAATTCATTTCTTATTCTATTCAATACTAATTTACTGCAATTCTACCAAGCAGAGACCCCAAAATATTTCCATTTCCTGAATGTTATTTTAAAAATATTTCATTTTCTGTTTGAGCACATTTTCAGGAAGGTTAAGTGTTAGATGATTGATTTAATCAATAGTCAAATCTTCTGTCACAATTCTATCCTTGAACTAAAAGCAGTTAATACATTTCGCCCACACCTCCACGTTTCATTGAGCACAATGGACCCTTACAACGTACAATCTCAGCACCACAGAGTGGCGTGGGAGTGAAGCTCACAGATTTGCTGCTATACTAGCTTGGACTCTCTTCGACGCCTCCGTAGATTGTAAGCTTGTTTTCCAAGGTTTTTTGTTGAGATCGCTTTGGAAAATATTTTACAAGTCGTGTATTACTGAAACCGGAAACGGTCAAATTGTCATCGCTGTGACCTTAATGGGATATTGTAAGCGCAAGACGCTCTGAAATGCCAAGCATTTACCTGTTAAATAAGTTAGTAGCCCTTTAATCGATAATTCAAGAAAATAATTCCACTCAGACTACAGAGGAAATTCCGTGATTAGAATACTTATTTAAACCCACGCAAAAAATTTCTCTTAATTGAACACGAAAATACATGCGAAAATGCAAGCAGAGCCTCCACGAATTATTAAAGATTTGAATGAAAAAAAAAATCTTTGAATTGGAAATGATAAAATTACTGTTAAAAAAAACACTTAAGTAGGACCAAAATTAACTTCACTTCGATCAATGATAATTGAAGAGGGACTTCGAGCCTCCGATTGAAATAGTAAACAGATTGAAAGCTTTTCCTGTATGAAAAAAAAAATCTCATACCATAACAAACCATTACCAAATATCCATTCGCTCTGTATCCTTACCTTATGTAAACACTCCACTACTCTGACGATGTCGTGGAAAATTATAATCGTTTCTCTTTCGGATAACCGTTTCTCTCGTATCACGTAATGTTGAAGGTTTATGAGGTCCGCTGTTTCCGAACTAAAGTCGTGGGCACAAAGGCAATCCAAAACTAAACACAGACGATGTCGGATTCTAAATTGTCTTGCACACGCATTTTGAGAGCGATGGCTTGCCGCTGAGTTCGTAGAATCTTTTTCAAGCGGTACTTCTTCGTAATATTCGTCTTTGAAAAGTCCATGGTGATGCACAACGCCATCTTGATCGTTTAAGAGAGAGAGCAGTGAATACTCCGTGTGTAACAACATTTTTCCTTGTTTGTCGTCGTAACTTTCGCGTCCTGGATCTGCTAGGGTTAGAATTTTGATTGAATAAAAGTCATCTGTACCTTCCTTTTTGGCTAAACACTGAACAATGCTACGGACGGGCGAGTTGCCCAACCTTGGCCCAAGTAAGTACGGACCAGCGCGCTTCAGCGTTCCGCGATTCGAAGCTCTAATGAAAGCTCTTCTCGAACTCAATGGTGAACTTGAGTTTGAAGTTGATGAGGACGATTCTCCACTTTCAAGGCAAGACGCCTTTCTTTTCACTCCTGATGATCCTGAGCCGCTGGATCGCATAGTGTACCATGTAAACAGAAACGGGAAGGGAATTTAAGAAAGCTATGTCGGTGGCTTGCCAAGTGTGAAATGTTGCGCACGGAAGTTAAATCCATTCAAACAAAAAATTAGTGCCCAGGCTTTCTGGTACAAGATGACCTGTATCAAAACTGGAACGAGATGAAATCTATCGAGTAAGATTTCGGAGAAATTAGCGTTTTCCACCAATTTTATTTATTTTTCATCGGATTATGCTTGTATCCGAAAGATTTCTTGAATAATCTCCATATATTTAAAAGTAAATAATAAGAAAAAGGATTCGATGTTGAAAGCTATCATTCAAAGCCACTGTTGCCATGGTGAAGACGCTACACGTGCATCAACCAAAATACAATCAAAATGGCTGCGGTTCTCCGTCGAACTCCAGATGTTGCAGGTAAAATATTGTCTACTATGCTTCATTATTATTTCTTTTTAGAAAATTTATAGCTGGAAATGAACCTACAACAAAATGATTAATACTACCTAACGATAAAAGTAAAAAAAATGTTTTTCTGATCAAGACAAAATCAAACATAGACTAAATAATTTTAAAAGCTTCGATTTAAGATTGACAAGAACTGAATAATCAATATTAGCCTTTTCCTACTTGGAATTTAATTCGATCAAGCAGACTACATATTTAATTGAGTTATATCTACCCCACTTAAATAATAATATCACGATTAGCCAATTACATGAGGAAATCTTGGCTAAGGTGAGAAAAATTAGTCCATGAATATTCGAACGGATATGGTGAACAGTTCTTGGGAATGCTGCCGAAAGTGGGTATTAGATCAAGGACTATTGGGTCAATATATAAAACATCTGTACAATGCCCATAGCGTTACCTGGTGTATGCCACGAGTTAAGTTGCATGTTATGATTGATTTCTTAGGCATGGATGTACCCTTAAAGAACCCAGTTATAAAACCATATTACCGAGATGGCTTCGGCAGTAAGTCAATAGGGGAGCCAGAGTGGAGGCCACATCCCAGAAACGCTCTCTCTGTGCCTGGTAGACTTGATAACACTGCAAAGTAAGTTAACGTGAATGATCATCAAACATATACTTTTTCGAAGAATTGGGATTTCTAAGCAAGATCATCAGGTATCTAGTTTGTGACCTTATCAACAAGATTTTGATAATGGACTGAAATTAAGTGCTCTAAGATACCAATTTTAAGCTCTCAAATCAAAGCAAAATTACTTACGTGTTTTTATGGTACTTACTTAGCGTGTATCAGGTTACATGCATTCACGTTTGTAAAAAAAAAAGAAAGAAAAATTGTTTGATGACCACCAACTTGAAGATGGCCGAAGTATTGGCTGGCCCAAGTAATCTGCAATGTATTCAATATATTTTTCAGGTCTTAAGCATTTTTTTCACCTTGTGATTATAAATGACAATTAAACATTTTGTTATATTTACAATACTCCTGAATCACATTCACTTCAAGTATAAAATGTAGTGTTAAACATTTCATTTAGTTTTGCATTGATATGGTTTCTTTAGAGGGGGCAATGGTCTTGACTGGACTTCGAGTATTCGTTGTGCACCTTTAGAGGAAGCAAGACATACATCACGCAGGCCAAGCGAGGAAGCACCACCATACTACAGCATGAAAAACAGTGTCAAGTCTACAGCCAGGGAGGAGGGTGAGGCTTCAACTATATACACACCTTACATAAAACTTGCATAATTTCAACAAAAATTTAAGAGTAGTGGTGTTAAACATAGGTAACCCCTGGGTTCAAACCATTTAGCCCACTAATTCAATCAGTTACAAAGTGAATGAATGAACAAATTATTGAATAATGAATACAGATGACATATGATCAGGACTGTTCAGCCCTTGTTAAAGTGAAGTCTTCTTTTGTAAGAATTTGTTTTGAAATTCACTGTGTCAACCGATGATAAGTGTTAACTTGGTTTTGTACATCCATGTATTCAGTGCTGGTCTCATGATAGTTGTGGTTCATTGTGTTTCATTTTAGCAGCCCAAGCATCCCACACAGACAATATAGAGGAAGAGAAACCCTATAGTGTCAAGCCTACAGTTGTATATGACACATATGATGATTTTGAACAAATTTATTTGAGAAGACCACTGGAGATATCTCTAAGAATGTCTGTTGGGGCAAAGAAATCAGGTATGCCTTCCAGGATATTCAACAGGTGTATGTAATCTTGTCTTCAAAATACGAGTGTAATTACCTAACATCAGTTTCCATATTCTTTATACTCTTCTCTTCTTCCTTTCGTAATGACCAGAATAATTTCTTCATCAATCAAAGCTTCTTATGTTGGGAATCATTTTTTTTATATTCTTGTAATCTAAGTGAATGATCCAGCAGTATTACTGTAAGGAGAAATTAGAGGCTGAGGAATTGTAGGGTTTGAAGGATTACAGGGTTACATGGGTTATATGATTGTAATACATAAATTTGGGATTCAGCTCAGTTTTATCCAAAGAATTGTATTTGGTTACGATACATGTAGGAATCAATTTTTAACCACAGGGTGAAAAAAAGAGTAAGAAGGCTTTTCAATTTTAGGGACTTTTGTAAGGTTCTAATCTTCTTCAGTTTAACCCTTTCCACCCTAACATCAGTATGGATATACTCCATACTGTTTTCTATACCTTTCCTAAGGTGCTGACAAGGATAATTTGTTTATCAATGGAGAGAATATTTATTTGGTGATCATTTCCTATATTCTTGTGACCTTACTGTGTCATGCTGGGGTTATACTGTTGGAAGAGATAAGATGCTAGTTACTCTCAGGGGTTAAAGGGTTAAAGATCATATGACACTGTAACTCCTTATCATTATGTTTATTGACCTTTATTGCAAACTCAATGCCAAAAAAAAAATACTATAAAAAAACCAGCCTTCCTTTTTTATTTTTATCCAATATATATTTTGTTAAATAAATTTTCAATATATATTTCATACAAATCCTGATTAATTATTACATCCTTTCAGTATTTGAACAAAGAAATGGTATCCCTGCAGCCTCACTAGGAGATAAGAGTTACCAGGTCCCAGAATACTCATCTGACTTCCATAAGCAGGGAAGTACAAGGCCTGTTGTTAACTTTGGGTGAGTACAAACATAGTTATGTGGATTTATTTATTTATAATTATAGGCTTGTGTCAGATAAAAATGGTTCTGCAAAGTGTGCATACAATGTACACATCTATTTTGTCAGTGGATCAGACCCAATTGAATGCAATTTGACAATATTTACCTTTTGTGAACCAAACTAAGGGTTATAATCAATAAACTCAAAAATTGAAAAAAAAATTAAGGTGATTTCTTGGGAAGTTATATTTAAATCACACTTGTTTAACATTTTTTTTTTTAATTAGAGGTTCTCTAAAATATGTTCCAGACACCTTTGTTCCTCTTCAAGATTTGCCATCTAGACCAAGGTAAGTCATAGGATGAAATAAAAACATGATTCAGTTATGATAATTTTGAGATTGTTTCATCAAATCAAACTTAATAGTTTACTACAAGTGATACCTAAATGTATATGCTCCTTCATCTTGTTTTATCTTCAAGAACCACTTTTGAAGAAAGACAGAAGAGAAAGGCAAAGAAAGAGGAAATTGAGGAGGTTAAAAATTTAGATCATTGGAGACCAGCTGATTTGCTATCACCTGTGTTGCAGCTTCCTGAATCACATGGATGACATACAGCAACCAAGAGTTAGCCTTAGAATCAATTTCTTCAACTGTAGCTGATAATGTAAGGTCAGACTATTCCCTTTAAAACTTTAGTTATTGCCTTTAGCATAGTAGGGAATTAATGCAAATTAGTGGAGAGCAAAGCATAAATTGATAATTGATATTCCACCCAAAAGTGAACTCTGACTGGCCTGTTCTTCTAAACACCAGGTTACAAATGATAAAGGCAATCACTTGTTTCCATGCATTAGTCTCTGAATTATTCATCTCGTGGTAAGGATTAACTGTTTTTGGACAAGTGCTCTTCTGTAAAATAATATACTTCATGGTAATGATACAAAATGGAGACAGTTCAAGAAATCATTTGCTGTCACCAATAAACACAATACCACTTTTAAATATATGGAAAGTGTACTTCTAGACCAAGGACAATATCAAAATTAGGAGGGAAATAGATTTTAAGTGATGTAATTTTTAAGACACTTGTAAAGCCTGCATAAATTACATTTGTGTTATTTGGTGTTTGCAATCACATGCCTGCCTCGGTCACACCTATCTACAGAAATCTTGACCTGAATTGTCTGATAACTTGCACTGACTTGCAGTAGTGACAGTTTTCTATAGATCATTAGCTATAGTTACCACAAAAGTACATGCAGGTCACTTCTTTATGAAGACATTGACCATTCAATGAAGCTTTCAAATTAAAGAAAAAAAACAAGCTTTAAAAGTTCTAAATTTTCTAAGGCAATGCTCTGTCATTGTTGGAAAGTGTGACTAGAGGGATAGTTCTGCTAATAACTGAACCTGACTTAATCAAAGAAGGGCTTTTTTGTCACCAATTTGTCACAAACTGCAGTTCAAGATTCGTTAATTAATACATATTTAAATATTTTTGCTTTGCATTAAATCTGGGGCCGCAGGGTGGAAGTAATGTTGTAGGACCAGCTTTGCACAATGGTGTACAAAACTTTCAGTTTAAATTCATAAAGATATCAATTCAAAAAACCTTTCCAAAAGATGGATAAAAAGGAGGTCTAATGCCTTATTGCCGTCTATTTTTGATAAAAGACCTGTTTTCAAATATTTTGTTGTTGTATAGTTCATATTTGATCCTGTACATATATTTTCAATGCACACAGTATTTGCTAAGAAAATGCTATTTTTTAATACTGAACCACCATGTAAAAAATTAGAATGTTTATACGAGATTAAAAAAGTAAAAGTTGTCTCAAAATTTTGCGATAATTTTAATTTGGGATTATTTTACTCATCATTGGTGAAGGCATGCTCTGTAGTAGCAAAACTCATCCCCCATAAAAGACCCCAATATAGTTTTTTGAGACAGTTGAAATTTTCTGGACTGTTTGTGTACTATTGGACTCAACTGTATTTAATTTCTTGCTATGTTATTTCACAGAAATAAAAAAGGACACAATGACAGTAAATCTATGTGAGCTGCATCAATGTCCAAATTTTAGTGGTTGGGAGAAATATGGAAGGAATTTATTGGTTGGGAGAAATATGAGAAAACCTAGAGAACCAGGAAGGAGTCACAGCTCTGCAACATTAAATCTAAGGATCATAGGCAAGCTTATCTTTACATCATTTCCTTTTCTCAGCCAGAGTGTCAATACTGATTCTCCAAAGATTTAGAACTGGAGATTCATCCTTTAAAGATAGGGGAGGGAGAGGGAATGCATTAAGAGGTATTTGCATGGTTATTTGTATTGCTGCTCAAAATTAACCTTCAAATTAAACAAATCTTTAAAAAAAGTGACCAGCAGTAATTATTACAGGTAAGAGACCACTTTTCTAATATACATCATTAAAGAAATTATGTACAAGTTTACAATGTAACAAATCTGTTTATCTGAAGCATTTGTTTCAACTTTAACTGAATGAGACTTCTTCTTAAGTCACAGTACAAATATGATTTCTCGATTAAAAATGTGTGTGGAAAATATTTCCAACAATTGCCTGGATATCAGAATAAATATTGAATAGGACATGAATAAAAATTTTACATCCAAATTTCAATCAGCAGTGAAAACTATTTTTCCAAATTTTCTCAATTCTGGGTAAGCATTGTAATAAAATATATCCTCTCAAAATGAATGCTATTCAAAAATTTGATAAAATTTGTCCAATGACAAAAAAACACAAGATGCTCTCTAAATGCTTAATGCGTCATCTAATCTTCTGCAGATTTCCTGAAAAAGAATGAAATAAGACTTGAATTTTACTTGATAAATTCAATTCAAAAATATAAAACAAGCAAGCTGAATACACAAACAAAGATACAGTCTCAGTGCTACAAGGTGTGACTATTTAATTTGCCATGGTGAGTGGGAAGAAATTTTGACACTTGAGTTTGCTATGAAAAGACCATTTAGGTTACAGTTGTTTGGTGGTCATGTGGCAAGTAATTTAGAATTTTCATCTGTTTTATAAAAGGTTTTAAAAATCTTTTCTCTACTGAGTATTTCATAGTGTAAGGTGGAACCGGCCACTTGATAAAAGTTGAGTTTAGAGCTATGAATCTGTTAGTGAAAAAAGTTCAGTACCTCTTATAAGCAACTACAGATATCAAATATATTAGATGGATCAATTTCTTCGTAAGAGCAGGATATTTGGAAAGTTTTGGTTTTGAAAACAGGAACCTAATTAGGTTAGTATGAGCATAAGAAAATTCTAAAAGAATGTAAATCTGGCATTAACATGCAAGTACAGAAATAATGTTCTCTGCCAGGTTGCCTTACAGGTTGACACAATATCAATCACTCTGACAAAGGGCTAACGCTTGAAATATCAGCCTTTAAACTCTTCATTGTGGCCAATTTACAACTGACACAAACCTTATTGTTGTTGAAACTTAAATGGCTCATGTATGTTTGTGTTCTGAATACCTGTTACAGTGTTAAGAAGATTTGTGATATCTTCTGGGGTGTTCATATCTTTCCTCCTTCCTGCAGGAATATGGAGTTGGTAGTCTGGTCCATAGGCCAGGAAATACTGCAAAAGACATAATTTTTAAAATGGAACTATTTACCTAACTATTAAGACAACCAAAGCAGATTTTGCCTTTGCCACAAGTGTTACCTCATGTTCTGGGATATCAAGTGACAACTGTTGATTGAGAGCCACGCCAGTCAGATATGTCCAGCACTTTGCAGAATTCTTGACATTGTACCCACCTAAAAAATGAAAAATTTATGTCAGATAACATCTGAGTGTAACACTGCTGCCTGGATTTAAGTTATCCCTAGACCATTCTCTTTATCATGTTGTAACATTTACCAGAAGTACAAAGACTTGGTATTTTTGATAGTTTTCATGGGACAATGAACACCTCTGGGTCCCCAAAGAGGACTGGCAGAAATCTCAGGCCTTTCACTTTCAAGGGGCCAGATGACATACCTCCTCCCAGTAATAACAAAGGCAAGTTCCATTCCATCAAGTATTTGATGCATTCTCCAATGCTATATTGAGTGAGGTTAAAAGAGGCCATAGGATCACCAGCTAGTGTATCAACTCCACACTGACAAACAACTGCGCTTGCCTTGAATCTCTTCTTAACTTCTGACATGACCCTACAAAATGCAATCAGAAAAAATTAAGAAATAAGAAAATTATAACAAATAGATAAATAAATGACAGAAAAAACAAATAAAGGAATACCATGACGAATTACCTTGAAAATATTTCTATGAAAGGCTTGTCAGTAATTCCATCCTTCAGGGGTACATTTACAGTGTAATACTTTCCTTTGCCTAAACCCACATCTTGACTTGCACCTGTACCTGCAAATACATGAAATATTTTTAAAAATGAAATTAAACAGTTCACTCTTTAATGTTTGCCAGCTTTTCACCCAACAAACAGAAGTATGCTCATACAGCAAAGTAGGAAGGACAGTGATGAACATAAACAAATAAAATTGTAGCATATTACCTGGGAAAAATCCTGGAGAAAATTTATGAAATGACACTGACATCACTTTTGAGGTAAAAGAAAAAGCATCCTCAACCCCTGCAAACAAAATTTGTAATAGATATTTTAGTAAAATAAAATATTTTGATGAGTAATGAAGAACCTTTGGAATATGCAAGCTACTTCTAAGCATTGATATTATACAAACCATCCCCATGGTGAAGATCAATGTCAACATAGAGAATCCTGTCAAACTTCTCTCTCAACTTTAAAATTCCTAAGACAACATCATTGATGTAGCAGAATCCAGATGCTTCATTCCTAGCAAGAAAAAAAGTTGTTCCTGAATTTCAAGCTAAAGAAACTGATTTTGCTTTGAAATGATCTTTTGAATTTTATGGGCAGGACTTTGTCCTTTGATCCCTCTCTTGAATCTTCAAACCTTAAGAACGACTAGCATCTAATTTCTCCCTACAAATGTATCACCCTGAATCAAACATGAAGGTCATATGAATAGAGGTAACAATTACCAACTAAAACAACTCTAATTGTTAAACAAATTATCCTTGTCAGCACCTTAGAAATGATATGTAAAGATATACAATGAACAGTTTGGAGAATGTGTATAAAGGCTGATTCATCATTTTCCCTCTACTTCTGCTAAACAATCATTAGTAAGAAGTATTCATTTGGGAATTGAACATGGGGCCCTCCCTAAATGATAACTTTTTCTATTCTCATCACAGGTTTGTGGGATAATGTAGGGACATGGTGAGGACAAGGGTGAACCAACAACTTAAAATAAATATGTAATTATGCAGGGGATGCTCAAAATAACAATTTACCTTGTTTGAAATTATTTTTTTTTGGTTATGGAGCTGGATTAGTTTTGTGGAAAAAAAGATTCTTACAACAGCCACACTTGTCACTATCATACAACATTTTCATTTTTCAAAAACAACAAATAGTAAAAATTATAAAAAAGCAAAAAAAAAAAAAACCCTGAAAACTATGGTTACAACTACAGAAATTTGCTCCTGACACCTTTGGGCATGATGCCAGCCTCCTTGCCAATTGATTGCTATGGAGCATTCCTGTTTGATTAACATCTCTGCAGCAGTGAGTGTACCGCCAGCAATAACGGACATGCAATCCAACAAATCTTCAAAGAGGGGACAGTCAAACCCTGGAACAAAATAGAAATGAGTTGAAACAATGTTTTTTCTTTCTTGTTACTATCAGAAGCACTCTCGTACAGTAACTACTGTTGCGTGGCTCTAAAAATAAGAGAGCACCCCTTCTTAGACTAGATCTACTGCTGATCTCAAAACATTGACTATACACAATGTAAAGTATCAATTATTAATTTCTGACATACCTAAGCCATATTCCCCAGCTGTTTCTTCCATTTCCTCATCATTGCAGTTACTTGAAAGCTTTTCTAAGCACTTAACATAGTCCAAAGAGTGAAATGCTGAAAGCTCATGTGCTGAGGCTTGCCGAGGTTTAACAACTCTATCAAAAAGTTGACATTCTTGTAAGTGTTACAACTAGTACAGTGTAAATATGTATTTGTGTGTTACACAAATCAAAACAGCAATTACAAATTCTACTTATTTGAATAATTTGTGGGAAAAAATTGCGAAACATGTTGGAAATTTAGGTCTACGTGCTGATAACAAACTCTTTTACCAGATTAGCTTCAAGCTATACAACTCCTCCAACCCCTCCTCACTAAAAAACTCAGCTTACAGTTCATAATCTCTAACCAGAATGGCTAAATTGTCCATCGAATCAAAGGGATACGTCATTGCAATTAGGCAATGCATGTACAGATATTTAATGACCCTGACTTCTGGTCATGTTATTGTTAGAAGTAGGTGACTGATTAGGAACCCTATCAGAACTTAGGAAGGGAAGCAGAGGTGCAATTGTTTGTGCTCCCTGTGCATGATCAATCCATTGTTTTGTTTGTATATTGTGAATGAGTAAATCAAGAGGATGATTTCATCAGTTTATAACATTGATGTGTGCAATGCATGGTCAAGCCCAGAAAACCTAACAAAAACAAACAACAGCTCCTAGCCAGTTACATCTAACTTGTTTGGGGCTCAAACCCTTGAGCTCACAAAAGGCAACCCATCATTTAACCAACTGAAATGCTGCTATAATGTTTACCTACAACTCATTACTCATTCAGAGACACCTCAAGCAGGGAAATTGTTTTCTCATAAAAGTGACTAATACATTACTATTCAATTTTGAGAAGGTGATAAACAGAAGCAGTGATCGTTCATTTACAAAAAAAATCCAATATGAGTTTTAAAATTAAATTTTTTAAAGATAAAGAATTTTTAAGATTATTTGTTGTGAAAAATTAGGTGACATTGAGAGGAGAAAAATTAATTGACCCTGTCATGGATACATGGAAAACCTGTTTCTTGAACAGGTACTGATACCTATATTTTCAAATTCCTATAATTGAATTTCAGTTCAGTTCAGTTTTTTTCAAAAAAAATATCTTTATGATTCAAAACAAGGAGGGATTCTTCATTCAAGAAAACTTAGACTAAAATAAGGCTTTTCCTTACTACGAGTGCCCATACATTTCAAGTTAATTTCATCCAAATTTTTAAAGGTAGTGTTGATGAACAAGGACATTTAATAGGTAATTTTGATTTTATCAACTGAGTTGATGATTTAAATTGGCCACCGGAAAGAGTTTCAAAGCTGACGAAGGACTTACGCTCGAAACGTCAGCTTTGAAACTCTTTACGGTGGCCAATTTAAGTCATCAACTCAGTAGTTAAAACCAAAATAATTCTGTTACACTCGCCCACCGACGCAGCACTACAACTTACCCCCTGTATTCAGTTGATTTAAGTAACTGTACTTTCCACGCTTTTATGAAATTTCAAATTACCTTGTGTTTTCCAAAAGTCCATAGGCTTTAATCAAAGTATGAGTTAATGATGCCTGAAAATAAGACAGGAAACATGCGAATTAAAGGGCTGTTCTCTAGAGTCACCGGTAAGTTAAATTTTTTAACATAACAACGCTGTTGTAAAATATTCAGCGCGGTGTTGAAAAGGAAGGAATAAATTTCCTTACCCGATTAGGTACCTTTGGAAGTTTATCACAGAGGGTTACTAGGTCCTCTGAGTGAATTAACACAACCTTCGCTAGAAGTTTTGTTGTCCGTTTGATCGACTGGCCGCCATTTTCTCTCAACGCCATCTTCAAACTTGCGCGGGAAAATTACTGAACATAAAGGTCAACACGATCCCTAGCTAGGGTGGGGTAAGGGTCCATTGGTGAATTTGATTTTGTTCATGTGAGGGAAATTGCTCGAAATCTCGAAAAAAACAAATTCACCTATAGGAAAATAACATATTTGCTATTAAAATGTGATTCATCGCACTTGAGAGGAGAAATCCCTTGAAGGAATAAGCAACTTACCCCTCCTCTGAGGGTACCTTGTCCAAACCGAGGTACAATGTACTTATGTCGTTTCCGGAGGTTGTAAGAAGTTGCGGCTCGCTTTCATGTAACGTGTGTGGAACTCTTCGTGAAGTTTACGCATTTTCGCGCAGGATTAGAGGCTCCTCGTGACTGGAAATCTCATTCTTTCTCACCAATTATGTTGAAGAGCAATTTTGAGGCGCTTTTCGGTGAGTAGAAATTGTGCTTGAATTGTATATAGTTTTAACAGCTTGCATGACGTAAATTGTCTGTGAAAAGGTTTTAAAAGCTGTCTTGAAATGATTCCAGAACTCTCTATTTTGCTAAGAATTTTAAAAATATGTTAAATTTCATTCATGAAATTTGCCATCTGTGTTTGTTAGGTTGAATCAAGGTTCAAGAATTGCAGCCGATGGACAGAGAATGGTCGCCGTCAAGTCCTTTCAAGTCCGCCGACCATTCCCTCTCCGTCAACTGTAATTCTTCATTCAACTAGCAAAAGTAGAGGGCATGTTTCGTGAATGAAAGTTTACAGATATTCCTAAGGGTTGTAATTTTCATTCTAGGTTGTAATTCGTCGTTTAGTTATGTTTAATTAACCTTACTTTAAATAATTGTTGTAACAGTTAAGCATGAAGTTACCCACTCAATCAGCACATTAAGCTATCTTCCGCTTGACCAGCTTTGCCATATAAGCCATAAGCTTAGGTTGTTCAAAATCGGTCATGCTAAAATGCAGACTGCAAACTGCAGACTGTGCAGACCATACAGACCGCGCTTTGTTTGCTGGAGAATTTCGACTGTTGCGTCTTACGAGACACTGACAAATTCATTCATGACCTATCACCCATTCGACTTCAATGAGTATTCAATTTTACCAATATTGTGCGGTTTTTCAGCCTGAGAAAAAAATTTGTTGTCTTGCCTATAAAATTATATTTTAGACCTTGGTGGAAATTAAATGGAAATCAGAAAACTTTGTTGGGAATTGGTTTTTGACTGAATGATAATCAGTAATAATCAACTAACGAGTGCCGTTTTGAATGCTGCTACGTTTTTGGTATGTGCTGTGTGCATGCCTTGATTTACAAGTTTCTTCAGATCTGTGATTCTACCAGTACAACTCAAGTCTGAGCCAGATTAAAGCACTTTAATCACTTTGCGGCAAAACATTATGCAAGTGTGGAAGACTCACTGATGTCAGTATCAAATGCAAACTTTAAATACTGTGGACAACCTTAATCTAGGAATGATAATAATTCCTTTTTACTCTATATTTTCGATCTCTGGTAAAATAAAAAAAAATACTGATGAAACCTCGACTCCTGTCAACTGGTGTATTGGAAATTGTTCTGTTAATTTTCATTTTACACCCGCTGTGTATGCATTACAATCGGAGATCAGGTTGAACACAACTGACATGGCCAAAATTTTCCACTAGCTATCAATCACTCTTCTACTCCAATTTAAAAATCCTATTTACCAGTAAAGTTCACTTTTAACTTTCAGCACTTTCTTTATTGAAAAGTTCTTTGTGCTGTCTTGTGAAGATCCTGGTAATCATTTGCTTTGTCCACACAGCCCATTCCTTACCTTTAAATCAGTGTCGTTGTCCACGCAAATTACATCTGCAATAAATCTCGCATGTGGGGCTAATTTTTATGTGCTCTAGGAACTTGAGATGGCAATTTTATTTTGCTAGGTAACATGAGCTGGAAATAATCTCATAAAAGTATGTCATGTGGTGTCCAAAAAGTGGAAACAGTTCCAACATAACCAAAAGAGTAAGAAAAAGGTGTATACATCTTAATCATATGTAAATCACAGTTTAAAAAAAAGCAAACAAAAAAATTGCACAGTCTGCATAGTTGCACGGTCTGCAGTTTATCATAACTGGTTTGAAATGGGATTAACATCAAACTAGAATTAAAAGTTAACCTTGGCTTTACATATAATTTCTTATATAGGAGAGCATGTATAAGAGCTAAGGTTTTGTTGGGTTTTTATTTCAATATGACTCAAAACCAACAGGAAAAAAATATATAAGAAAAATCCCTTTCCAGAGCTATATATTGATTATCCTCCATTTTTTGAGTTTTATGAATATGCATATACTATGCCTTGGATTCGTACAGATAAGATTTACACACTGATCGACCATGTGCTTCTTCTTTTATTACCTACTTCATATATGAGTACATGAAGCCTGTCTGCGCTCAGTACGTCATGTAATACATGACATCCCTCCTTTTCTTGAAGAAAGAAAACAATAGTCCTTAAGACTTAATCAAAACAAAACATGCGAATCTGAAAATTGGACGGAGAGCTGGTAATAACTAATTCGCTTAATTTCAACACGAGATTCACCGGTTCTAAGCAGTCCTTGTATCAAAACAACATTTAACATTTCGAATCAAAGTTCACTGTTTCAAACGAAGTTCAACATTTTAAAACAAAGTCTTTATATCTCCCAGGGAGTCTCCTCTGTCTCTGAGGTCTTCCACCTTTTGGTGTTGCTGGTGGGCTAGGTACTGTTGCTTGATCAACTGCTGCATTCTTACTAGCAGAGGTTGTACCAGATTTGCTTCCTGCACTTGCTTGTGCTAAAGGTGTGAGATGAGTTAGGGGTCTACTGGGAGGTGTTGTAGGCACTACTGGTGTAGATCCACTCATCACTTGATTTGGTACCACGGTAATTTCAGGTGTTGTCGGTACATCGACACTGACAGGTGGTTCTTCCGGATTGTCAGGGCTCACAAACTTCTTGACATGGGATGTATTCCTTGAATACTGCGTTCCACCTGGAGTTTCCACAACAACACTGTTACCGGTCTTGCTAACCACTTGGAATGGTACTGGATTAAATGGCGTGGAAAACTTGTCTCTTTTCTCTTGCCTCACCAGGACTTGATCACCAACTTGAACTTCTGATGGTTTTGCATTCATGGATTTATCAGCTATTACTTTGGTCTTTGCTTTCACTTCGGCATCTCTATCTCGAGTTTCCAGGTCCAAGTGATGGTCGGCATGTAGCTCTGGTAGCTTTCCTCTCATCTTTCTGTTAAACAATAATTCCGCAGGGCTCTTACCGGTTGTCGCGTGATCAATACCTCGGTATTTAGTCACATATCTTCTTAGCTCCTTCACCCAGTCTAATCCTTCGGCTTGGGCAATGCGGATCCTCTTCATCAGCGATGCATTTTGTCTCTCTACCTCCCCGTTGGCTTGAGGCCATTTTGGTGTGGTCTTGGTGTGAACAATTCCATTCTGCTTACAATATTCCCGGAATTCTTCGGAGCGGAATTGTGGACCATTGTCTGACTTTATGGTCAGAGGAAGGCCATGGCGGCTGAAAATCTCTTCCAGGTTGTCAATTACTTTCTCTGTGACGGTTGACATCATGATGGCGTACTCATAATAACGACTGTAGTAGTCCACAACAACAATGATTGAGTGTCCCGAAGGAAGTGGTCCTAGGAGGTCTATAGCTAGGTCTTGCCAAGGACCTTCTGGTAATGTCGTGGATCTCAATGGCTCAGGTGGGTCTGGGCGAGATACCAGTTGACATCCGTGACAGGACTTGCAGAATTTCTCTGCTGCCTTATCCATACGAGGCCACCACACCTTACTTCTTAAATTTTGCTTTGTTCCCACAATTCCTAGGTGTCCTTCATGGGCTAAGCTGATTGCCTGAGCTCTGAGTTTGTTTGGTAACACAATACGGGTACCTCTCAAGACTAGCTGTCCAATCACACACAGTTCTCCTGCGGCTGGTGCATAGTTTTTGCACTTCTCAAATCTGCCAGTTTTGATTGCTTCTCTCAGGACTTTTAATTCTTCATCTGTTGCAGATGCTTCTTCGACTTCTCTCGTGGTTAATGCTTGGGGAGTGGCACTGATAGCTGCGAATCGGATGTACTCTTCTGCCCCATGTGGATGACTCGTCACTTTGTCTTGCTTAAGCAGGCGGGAAAGAGGATCAGCTATATTATTCTGCCCTGGAGTATATACAATTCGGAAGTCGTAGGGTTGTAACCGTATTGTCCACCGTTCGATGCGGGCACAGGGCTTGGAACGTGGCCCGTAGATGACCTCCAACGGTTTGTGGTCAGTTACCAGATCAAATTTCATGCCATAAATGTATGCATGATACCTCTCACATGCCCAAACGAGAGCGAGGGCTTCCTTTTCGGTCTGGGAGTACTTGCGCTCACACTCTGTCAAGCTGCGGCTTGCATAGCAAATTGGCACCCATGCTTCATTTTGGTTCTGTAGTAACACAGCTCCGAGGCCGACTGGACTGGCATCAGCTATTACTTTGGTTGCTGCGCCTTTGTTAAAATATGCAAGTGTTCCTGCGTCAGCCATGCTCTGTTTCAGAATCTTAAAAGCGGTTTTCTGCTCAGGTCCAAAGTGGAATGGAACAGCCTTTCTGGTCAAGCTCCTTAGTGGCTCAGTGATAGTAGCGAAGTGAGGAATAAACCTGCTGCTATAATTGGCCAATCCCAGGAAGCTTCTTACTTCGCTGACGGTGGCAGGTTCCCTTGTTTCTTGCAAGGCTCTGATTCTTTCTTCTGTTGGGCCAATCCCTTTTTCAGAGAGAAGAATTCCCATGAAAATCACTCTGTCCACATTGAATAGGCATTTGTCAGCATTGAGAGTTAAGCCATGCTGCTTGAGGCGTTCCATTGTCTTATATAGGCGTTGGTCATGAGTTGCCTGATCCGGGCCATGTACTATGATGTCGTCAGATATATTATCGACTCCTTCTATTC